CTTTATAAAAGTGTATATTAACATCAATTATATAGACAGGCACCGGACTTACAAAGGATTTCATCATGGCTCTTCTGGTGTCCTCATCAGCATCTTTGTAAATGTCTCGGAAAAATTTGTTCAATGCTGCATCTCCATCCAATTTTTCATCTTTTTCCTGGAATACAAACCAGCATTGAGGGACTTAGAAACTAACTGCATAGAACAGCCACCCTATTGTGGTCTATTTAATCAAAGACACCAAACAGAAGACTTATATTTTTACTACCTCCTTTTTCACTTCAGCCTCTAATTTATCCCAATCCACGTGTCTCAATTTCGAGGAAGGATAACTGGGCCGGGGGGCATCTGTAAAATGCAAACTATAGTAAGCTTTGCTTCTGAATAAGTGTAACCAACAAATTTGGTAAATTCACTGGTCATTGTAAGCAGTCCAATGGTGAAGAAAACAACTGAAAATTGACAAATACAGTGAAGGGGAAAGAGGAATGGTTGATAGCCAGAACAACATACTACACAAGCAAGAAGGTTACCTGATAACACATTAGGCCTCTGCACTACAGCAGGCTCCCTCGTATATTCAAGAGATGTCCAGTGTAAGGGTTCAGCTTTTGCAAGGCGGATCTCAATTTTGGTAGACATCACTTCGTATCTGCATTTTGCAGGTGTTATCTGCATATCAAGAGACAAAATTACAAGATAGCACAGTAAGCATCTTCAATTACTTCGGCAACAATTTGTCAGAAATTTTAAATGGGGCTCTGTCCAGAAATATCACAGCCACATTTTAAGCTTAGGCTTACCTTCCCAAACAACCTAGGCTGGAAAGAATAAGCTTCGTCGCCTGGCACATCAATGCTAACACTAAGCTGTAAAACAACCAAAGAAAAAAGAACTTGCTTCGTCATCCAATTATTTTAAATAAAGATATCTCAACAGGATCAAAAAATGGTATAAAACATACTATTTGTTCACCAAAGTCAACAACAACATTCTTGGCTGGTATACCCTTGGCAAATATAGTCACCACCACCTCCTCTGGCTTCTGGTAAAATTCATGCCTGCAGTTACATACATTAGATTACCCTGTGTTTTCCACAAAAAGAATACCCGAAAGAAGGGGAAAAAACCATTCCAAAAGCTAATCACAAGGTTGCAGTAATCATTATTTTATAAGGACAAGGTTGCAGTAATCATATAAGTATGTTTTTTTAATTAAGAGTAATCATATATGTTTAAAACATAAAAGCAATAATATTTGAGAAAGATTAAAACATAAAAGCAAAGAATATTTTGCAAGTACCATCTCAAACTTATTCCCACATTTGGTAAATTATTTAGCCTATCAAAGGAAAGTATGATGCCAGTGTTACTGAACTTAACGATTCACTAACATGCAAAGGTTTTGACCTAACCTGTATTTTGGTCTGGCAGCAGATCCTTGATAGGACAGGTTGACAGTTGGTTGAGCATCTTTAGGCGCAACAGCAACATTGTCCAAAGACTCAGATGCAGGGGGGGCTACGACATTTCCAGAGGTTTTATCCACCGACTGATTAGGTAGTTCTCCAGCTTCCTCTGAATTTAGCCAGCAAATATCATCAATTAGTTTTACTAAGGATCATGCGGCTTCCAAAATCATGGAAACCATTCTTATAAGATATGAATGAAGCATCAGGTGTTCCATTAGCATAGCAACATCATTATACACATAAATCTGTCAGGAAAATAACCGCAATAATTTCAAGAAAACTGTAGGTTCTATTAGTTTTGAACTATAAAAAGCCAAATTTCTCATATTGTCATAAAACTGCTTGTTAGAGCAAAATATAGCACCAAGTCACCGTAGGTGCCATGGGTCGATTAGAATTGACAGGATTTGTGAAATGTGAGAAGAGCCAGCTTCAAAGGCAGTAAATTACCTGCAATGCGTTCATCACATTCTTTGATTAATTTTGTGAACCTTGACTCTGCCGGTGCTAAACTAGCACCAGTTTCCAAAGCTGCTTTTGCAGTTTGGTACTCTTCAAGCTTCATACAGGCCAACCTGGAAAAGCACCAAAAAAGGAAATTAATTCAATAACACCGTATCTAATGACACAAACACTGACAGATAACAAGTGCTACTTCAAAAAATAATATTGTTACACTTCGACTTCGTTATTTATCAAAAGTGAAGGTAAAAGCTAAGAAAGTATAATAACAATAACATGGTAATGTAGTAAGATATTTCGGGGAGTGGGGTGAAACGGTGTGGTTGTGGGAAAATCTATGATGCTGCTGCAGTCTCTTGGAGGATGATGAAAATCAGACATACTGAACAAATCAATAAATCATGAAATGACGAATCTTGATTTCACAGTCAGCTATTGTAACGTCCTAAGAAGTTAGATGAGCTAGATCACCAAATCAAGAAAAGCATGTAGTGAACAGGCATGGAACACCACAAAATTCAATCAGCGAGAAAACTTAAAACAAAATTATACCATCACCACATAAGAAACTAAAATAGAAAGGTTATTAACACTCACCCCTTACGCAAATATGCTTTTGACATTGAAGGATCTAACTCAATGGCCTTGTTCGCATCAACAACAGCTTCTGCTCATAGGGAAACATGATTACAGTTACTACCATGCTTAGAAGTTATAACTAATAATTGATAAGCATTACAATTAACAGTATATAGTGAAATATGATGCTCTACGCAGACACAAAAGAGATGTCTTTCCAGGATGTTACACCAATGAACTTCATGCAAACTTATAAAACATTATAAATCTAACTAGAAACTCCACAGATTAAATTTCAACAACTGCAGATACTTTAGTTACTGACTAAGGGCAATAAATAAGAAGAAAGTTAGGGTTTTGGTTTATATATCCTCTATTCATTCCGGTCTATTCCAGTCCATCTAGTTCCGATACTAGAAAATTCACTTTTATATCAAATTAGGGATTCGCAAGATTCTCTAAATCTGGCACTTATCAATAAACAGACATACAGGTTCTAAAACAAATACCGGATCTAACATAAGTGTACCAACAACGACACCAAAATCTGAATCCTAACTACAATTGCATAATAAAGAAAGTAAAAGCAAAAAAAAAAAGCTAAACGAACAATCCACCAGTGCCCCGCACTCATGTAGCAAATAACCTAAAACTTTTACAAATTCAATAAACCGTAGACCGCAATAAAAGCACAGAATTATTCAATCAACGCTGTTTCTTACCAATTTGTATCCTTTGTCAGTCAATTTACCAGTAAATTAGCCACACAAAAAAAAAACGGATTAATTAGAGAGAAAAAAGGATACCAGTGAAGTAGTTGAGTTTGATATTGGCCTGAGCACGGTCGGCGAAAAGCTCAGCATTCTTAGGGGTCATGGCTATGGCTTGAGTGTAAAGGTCAACGGCGAGCTCAAAGTGGTCGTCGATGAAAGCTTCTTTAGCCCTAATCTCCAGATCGGACGCCATTGGAAGGAGCACAGAAGAAGCCTCTAGAACAAGACGGAAAAGGAATTGGGATGGATGGATGGATTGAGATTTGAGACTATAGAGATTCTTTGGCGTATTACGGCTCCCCGGCCCGATGTATATAAAGATCAATAATTGGGGTTTGTATTTGTATAATTTGTATAAGAATAGGAAAAGACTAAGAAAAGGGTTTAACAGGTCAAGTCTTCGCCAACTATCTAAGGAAGTATTTATTTCTTTTATTTTGAAAGAATTTCAAGAAAATAGAAAATAAAGGCGACTTCACATGTAATAAAAAATAGCCCATATTTTTAAGTTTTACCCGATCTAATCCATATTGTATATATTTTAAAAGTACTAGCAAATTCAAAATCTGTATTTTTATAACCATTACTTCGAAAAGATATGGAGTTAAATTTGTGTTCTCACAACCATTGCTTTCACTCTCTCTTCTTCTCATATCTTCTACATATGCTTCAAGGGGTTATTTTTCGCTCCCCTCCCATGTGTCACCTGTTTGCAATGCAAGAAAATTGAAGAGTAGAAATCCATCATTGAAGGCCATTCAAAGTTTTGCGGTCGAAAATAGAATTTTTTGAGTTTGTTAGTTGTTTGGATTGGGTGTTGTTCCAATTGATTGAATATATCAAAATAAGTTCAAAATTTAAATTTGAAGTGATTTGGAGTAGATTTGAGTTAAATTTCAAAAAAGACGCAAGGAAGAAGACGAAATCAGTTTTTTGTATAATTATGTATAATCTTGTATAATAGTATATATGAGTGTATAAACACATTTTATACAATATTATACACTTTTATACGCCTTTATACAAGCGTCTGTAGACGAACTTCTTTCACGATTTTCAGTTACAATTCTTGTTCAAAACCAGTCCAAATCTCCATTAAATGGCTTCAAATTTTATATACAACCTTCTTATACTATTTCTAACAAGTCTAAATAACACTCACTCCAAACTTCTCACAAAATCAAATTTAAAATTTAAACTCACATATTTAAGCTTATTAAAAATTTAATTTTTACCATCCAAATGGATTTGGTTTGTTGAACTAATATTTGAGTTACAGTTACTGATTCGAAAATTAATTTAAAAGCTTGAGCAATCTTTTTTAAAAATTAAATAGTAATTTCGAGAACCTATTGGAATTGGATGTTGAATCTTAGCCTATTATTTTTGGGTTAGTTGGTTGTAAATTAAAATGTGGGCTATAAAATTAAAAAGTAGTGAGCCCACTTGTTCTTATGTGAAATTTTCCCTTTTATTTTTTCCCTTAGACCGATTTTGTCCCAAATGGATTTTTCGGCAAGGTTTTTAATGAGGCAACCATTGATCGTGTTAACTTAGAACAGTTCAACAGTATCTGAGGCCTTACACCTACCTTGTGAGAACAGCAAGATTTACCACTAGCAAGAAATAATTTTTCTCTCAAATATATACAAATACCAACCTTTTTTTTCAAAGTTCTGATTTTCTTTTCAATTCCCTACAAGTGGCTCTCACAATTTTCTCAACCAGTGCACATTTCTCCTTTGATGAGGTTTCTATGCATCAAAGTATGCTCTTTTCTGATAGTCTTAAGGTACCTCCTCTCTTCCTCTGCTGAAAATTGATATTTTTCTTTTAATAGGATTTTGAAAATATGGAAGCTAATGCCTCTTGGTCGAGATAGCGGTAGAAATGACTACCTTTAGTTTTCATCCCTAGCATTTGATTCCAATGTTTACGAATTTGGAAGTTGCATATGGAATTTTCTTCTGCCCAATGTTTAAGAATTTGGAAGTTGACTTGGCGTTTAAAAATTTTGCTATGGATCTTGCATTTTGTTTCTTCAGGATTTAAAGAATCTGAAAAAACAACTTTACTCAGCAGCTGAATATTTTGAATTGTCTTATTCTAATGACGAGCAAAAAGAAGTGTGAGTTATCTGTCGACTTGCTGGAAAGCTCAATTTTATTTTTCATGTCTTTTTTCGTATTGCCTCCGACATATTTCTCTTCATACAGTGTTGTAAATACATTGAAAGATTATGCCATTAAAGCCCTTGTGAACACTGTGGATTATTTGGGCTCTGTGACATATAAGGTCAGTGATCTCTTGGATGAAAAAGTTGATGAAGTATCTGGAACAGAGCTGTGTCTATCTTGCATTGAGCAGGTAATAACCTCCTATTTTTTTCGAATATCAAAACTTTATGAATACCTTCGTTAAAAGAATTCTGATAGGATAAACCATGGTGCTTTGCACAAAAAAGTGGCTACTATGTAACAGCATATGAGTGACTAATCCTCTTTCTAATGTCATATATTCAACTGTTTTTTGAAAAATACCTTTGTGCCTTTAGTTATGTTCTTGTTCGCTCTTCTCTCCTCCTCCCTGCACAAACATATGAAGATCTTATAACAACAATACTTCTTATAAATAGGTTAATTGAATGGACTCCATAATCGAAGTCAAGATACTTACCGAGTTCCATTTGGTTGAAGAAATGTTGTTCATTGATAATCTTTTAAAGACTGCAAGATGCTAACACCCTTTGAAGAGCCAATGCTTGGACATATCAAATGCTTGGCAGTTGGCGGTGTGCAATTTTCTTATATTTTTCTGTCCGAAGAATTCTGTGTCTAGTTAATGTTTTGTAGCTGAAGTGAATGCAAAAACACACACTTTCATCAAGAAGATTATACACAAAACCAAATAGGGAAGCTAGCTATGAGTCTTTTACAATAACAAGTATAAAAGTTAAATCGTTTTTACTTCCCTTTAGTTTTATTTTTTTCAGGGAATGTGAATAGTAAATAATAGGAAAAGAAGATAAGCGTGAATACGCAAATACTAGGGAAAGAAAAAGGTAAAAGATATGAAAGTTTTTGTAGAATTAAAATATCTATAAAATATTAGTTAATATGTTCGCTTTATTTGGAACAATAAAGATGAATGAGCGTAAATTGAAGCATAAAAATATCGGCAAAATACATAGTTTACCCATCATCGACCTTGCATCTAATCTCTATTAGACACTTGTTGACTACGTGTTTAATATTACACATCAAACCTTTAAAAAGTATGTAAATGATACACTACTTTTGACCAATGTCTTGGACGTGTGAAATGCCTACAATGTGATGCGTAAAAAAAAATTTTTTTTTGCCTCACTTGACAAAGATCAACGGCTACTTTTGGATTTGGGCCCATTTTTTAATTCTTTCTTAAATTAAAGGGGTTAACCCTAACGACCACTTCTTTTAAGTTCTTTTATCTAATATTTTCAAGCTCGTTATATTCGTTAAAATCTTTGGACATGACTAGTTGATTCGATTCCACTCATGTCATCTTATAACTTCGCTCCTCGACCGCTTTATCTTTCTAGTGATCTAGTGATGCGGGAAGGGAATGCCAGGGGAACAAAAAGGCGTGAGGAAGATTCTGCAACAAAATCAATTGAAAAGACAGAGAAGTCTAGTAAGCCTATCAATTCAAGCAAGTCCGACTAGTTTAGGCGCCACCTTTCAGGCTTCTAAAAGCGGGTGATTTTAAGTCTAGAGAAATTAAAGTGCAATCCATAAGATAAAATAATTATTCTTCTGTCAATACTCGTATTAGGGTTCATAATGAATGGAGAATTCGGGTCCTTTTTGTCTATGTGGAGATGCAGCTGAACTAGTAATTTCATGGAGCATCGACAACCCTGGTCGTTGATTTTACGTCTGTAAAAATTATGAGATAAGCTTAGATTGTTATAATCGTTATTTCAAAATTTTATAAGCTTCATTTTAATTTATTTTTGGATTTGCAGAAAGATAATAAAGCTTGGTGTAAGTATTTCACATAGTTTGATCCCCCGACTCATGAACACTTGAAACTAGTGATTTTGGGTCTGCTTAGGAAGAAGAGGTAGTTTGAAGCGCATTTGCAGGAATCTGGAAAACAGAGGAATTGGAGGAGACTTTTTTCTGATTTTAGGATTAGTTATCGTTAAGGCCATGGTATTTGGTAGTTTTGAGCACTGCTATATAGTATAATGATAATCCCCTATTTTTGGTGTTCATGTATTTGGTTGATTGAAGTTATTGATGTTCTATGGGGGTTATCCCCTATTTTATTATAGTTGTATTCAAGCTTTGTTATTATTAATATCGATTCAAGCTTCTCTTGTGTTACTTTTCTATTTAGCTTTGTTAACCAAACATGGGTAATGCAGCTTTTGTATAAAGACCGGCACACAATAATCAAATAAAATTTAAATATACTTCATTCCACAAAATAGGTGTTCATTGGTAGACACCAAAATGGATTAGCAAGTACTTAACAGAACATAACACTTGGTTGTCCTTGGCAATACTTAACAAAATATAATACTTTATTGTCCATAGCAACACTTAACAAAACATAGAACTTAAACTACAACCAAAAGTCTTCATTTCTTTTTCTGCTTCTTCGTTGGTTGAGATGATGAATTAGCTTGACTAAGATCGTGTTGTGATGCTGCATCTATTTGAAGTTGTCCTGTGCTTATGACTTTTTTGCCCATCCATCTCATACCGGCACTTCTTGGTTGGTAATCACATTCCTCCCATGAAGCTGTAGACCTCTTAGTTTCGGTGCTAATGGCCCTTGAATTTTGTCCTCCACTCTGCCAAAATACAGCATATTTAGTTATAATATTACATTCAATAGAACGAAGACACACTAAATTATAGCTTTAGTTTCACTTACAGTAAAAGAAGTGAACCCACTACTGGTTTGAAAGAACCCAATTATACTGTCTCTACCTCTTCCAGCCCTTTACCTCTTGCAAAAACTCCCCTACCTCTTGCAGATTGTGAACTAGATATTGTAGTAGTACTAGTTCCTCTTCCTCTTCCTCTTCCTCTTCCTCTTTCTCTACCCCTTCGAGCAGCAGATGAAGAAGTACCAGTTGGTACAGTATTTCCAGCTGCATATATTTTCTTGGGGCATCCCCTCTTATTGTATCCACACACACCACAGTTTGAACAAGTCATTTTCATACATCTCCTTGAAAGCTTCCCATATTTTGGATGTTTAGTTTCTTCTCTTTTCCTATTTTTTTTTTGTCTCCTAGGCATATTTCTAATAGGGGAGATTTAATAGGGGGTGGCCTGCAGATGGCCACTATTTTATACAAGGCACTGGCTGATAAATGTTGAATAAGCCTTCAAATAATTGGACTTATGATACCAATGTGCGATGTGGTGAATAGGTTCCATGTCCTTCAAATGCATGCTAGCAATTGCATGACAACATGGGATACCTTTAAACTACCAGGATTTGCAACTACAGGTCATAGTCACTAAGGATGCCATATGCTTGTACTTGGGATCTTCAATCTCATAGCCTGTTTCACCATTCCATATTGGAGTACACTTCATAGACTTTGCCAAATTATCCTGGTACACCTTCATTGCAATTAGGGAGATATCACATATCCATGTCTCACAGAACTTCCTCATCTTACCTATCCTAATCATCAGCTTAATTCTAATTTTCTCAAATATTGTGATCAGTGTCTTGTGTCTCTCAGTCAGTATCCATGAATTGAAAGTCTCACACATGTTGTTGTCAATTATATCACACTTTCTATCACAATTGAAATAAGCTCTGCACCAGGTTTCTTTTCTGTGGTGGAGTAAGCTTTCACATATATCATTCCCAAGCTTGTCTAGCATAACAAGTTGGCCATTCAATTCTGCAACACTAGGAGCTCTTGCACATCTCCAGAAAGTATTTCTCCTCTCCAAGTCTCTCAACTCTTTTGACCAGTTTGTCAGGATGTGTCTAACATACATCATGTGTTCACACTCAGGCAATAAATCTCTGACAACATTAATTAAACCCTGAAGGATTAAAAAAATAGTTAAAAGTAGTGAAGGAAATAATTGAGCATAAAAAGTAAGGAAAATATTACCTTCTGCATATCAAACTTAATTGTAAGGTTTTTGTTATCTTCTAAGCTCAGATCTTCACTCAAACACTTCAGAAACCAAGTCCATGTGAAGGTGTTCTCCACCTCTACAACTACTATACAGTTGGAAAAATCTGATCATTTTCATCTTTGGAGACAGCTACAAGAAGTTGTCCCTTGCAAACTCTTTTCAAGAAACATCCATGGAGGCCAATAATTCTTCTGCAGCTTTCAAGCCAACCCCTTTTCATGGCATGTAAACAAATATAGATTTTAGAAAATACCAGTTTTCTATCACCTTGATATTCTGCTTTTACCACACATTTACTCCTAAGATTGGTCTGCAAAATCATATCTCTGTAGTCATAAAGTCTTTTGAACTCTTCATGCACATCACCAATAATTTCTTTCAGTATCTTAGCTCTAGCCCTATGGGCAGTTAATCTCCCTACATAGAGGTCTAGTTCTTGCTTTATTAATTTTATCAACTCCCAAACTTTCATACCTGGTTGTGATATAATTTTGCTCTCATAATGAATCTGTACCGGGTTCCAGAACCAGAATATGGACTCGGCACTAACAATGTCAAACACCAATCAATTCTTAAAAATAATTAAATTTTCATACTTTTAATTTTCATCAAAAATTCATAACTTGAGCTAGGGACCTCCGAATTCGATTTTGGGCAGACGCCCGGGTCCCATAATTCGACACGGACCCACCGGGACCGTCAAAATACGGATCCGAGCCCGTTTACCAAAAATATTGATCGAAGTCAACTAAAATTAACTTTTAAGGCATAAATTCTTATTTTCATCAACTTTCAACATAAAAGCTTTCCGAAAATATGCTCGGACTGTGCATGCAAATCGAGGAGGGTAAAAATGAGATTTTTAAGGCTTAAGAGCGTAGATTCGAGTTCTAAAATATAAGATGACCTTTTGGGTCATCACATTCTCCACCTTTAAAAAAGCCGTTCGTCCTCGAACAGACATAGAAAAGTACCTGGGATGGTGAAAAGGTAGGGATATCTACTCCGCATATCAGACTCGGACTCCCAAGTAGTTGCTTCAATAGGCTGACCTCTCTATTGCACTCGAACTGAAGGGTAACTCTTTGATCTCAACTGGCGAACTTGCCGGGCTAAAATAGCCACTGGCTCCTCCTCGTAAGTCAAATCCTTGTCCAACTGGACAGGGCTGAAATCTAACACATGGGACGGATCGCCGTGATACTTTCGAAGCATGGAGACATGGAATACCGGATGAACAACTGCTAAACTAGTTGGCAACGCAAGCCTGTAAGCTACCTCTCCCACTCTCTCCAGAATCTCAAAAGGTCCGATATACCTAGGGCTCAACTTGCCCTTCTTTCCAAACCTCATGACACCCTTCATGGGTGATACCCGAAGTAACACTCTCTCTCCGACCATGAATACAACATCACGAACTCTACGGTCGACATAACTCTTTTGCTTGGACTGAGTTGTGCGAAGTCGATCCTATATAATCTTGACCTTATCCAAGGCATCCTGTACTAAGTCTGTTCCCAACAACCGAGCCTCTCCCGGCTCGAACCACCCAACTGGCGACCGAAACCGCCTACCATATAATGCCTCATAGGGAGCCATCTGAATGCTCGACCGGTAGTTGTTGTTGTAGGCGAACTCTGCAAGGGGCAAGAACTGATCCCAAGATCCTCCGAAGTCAATAACACAAGTGCGGAGCATATCCTCTAAGATCTGAATAGTACGCTCGGACTGTCC